TAACAATAATAATAATAACAATAACAACAATAATAATAATAATAATACCAATAATAATAATAATAACAATAATAATAATAATACTAATAATACCAATAATAATACCAATAATAATAATAATAATAATAATAATAATAACAACAATAATAATAATATTAATACCAATAATAATAATAACAATAATAAAAAATAATACTAATAATAAAAATAAAAATAATAACAACAACAATAATAATAATAATAATAAAATAATACCAATAATAATAATAATAATAACAATAATAATAATAATAATAACAACAATAATAATAATATTAATACCAATAATAATAATAACAATAATAATAATAATAATACTAATAATAAAAATAATAATAATAACAACAACAATAATAATAATAATAATAATAATACCAATAATAATAATAATAATAACAATAATAATAATAACAACAAAAATAATAATAATAATAACAAATAATAACAATAAATAAATAAATAAAAATTTAGGTCTACTCTAGGAAGCCCTAATTGTGTCCAGGAGCCTAATTTTAAGAAGGGCGATATAAAAAAAAAAGCAGGATAGCTCTGTCAAGCTGACACGGCGACAAGCCGGAAAACCGATTCTCTGCCAGCTCTGCTTCTCTTATCTTACAGAGACGTATCCATTATACCAGGAAATATCTAAAGGAGGAAATTTTTATTTTATTCCTTCTTAAGAAAAGGTGAGTCTGATCTGAACAAGGTTCAAGAGATAAACCTTTAGAAGGAAATATGGTTTCTATGTTATCAGCTTTATAAACAATCACAAGATTTATTGCCAAGGAGATACTGGACCGTCAGTGATCTATTGGACAAAACACAATGGGGGGGGGGGGGTGATTAACTAGCGGCAAACAGGGTGTGCACTCGGGGAACTTTCCCTTAGCCTTCTGAATGCTGTAAAAGTTCACTTTGCCAAGAAAACCCAGTCATGTGCCCAAAAAAAAACAACACATTTTTGCTTGCATATGTTTGGATGATGGAACAGCTTAGCCTGGTTCACAGCTATGCGATTTTCAGTGCGTTTTCATTTTTGTAGAAGCGCACTGCAGTCCATTGAACGCGGTTTCCTATGGGTCACGTTCACATCTGAGTGTTTTTTTTTTGGAAAGCGTCAGCCTAGGTTCACATATATGCAGCGACTTCTGTGCATTTCCCATTCCATGCGATTTGCTGCGAGTGTGTGTAAGGGCATATCTGTGAGATGGCTGGCTGATAGAATGTGTGCGCGCACGCAGCAATCTCCGCAGAATGGTGACCAGACGTGTGCATGCTCGCAGAAATGCTGATCGCGCACAGGCACACGCACAGTGAATATTGGGAGCCAGACGGACTATTTAAAGGATGCTTCCGCCTGTGCTTAGTGCTGACTGGTCTTCAGCTGTTCCCCTGTGTCCTGCTGTATTCTTGTATGATCCCCTTGTTCCTGACCCGACTTCGGATTCAGATACTGACTCGTTGCTCGTTCCTGATCCCGGCTCTGTTCCTGACTTCGATTTCCGCTCCTGACTCATTGCTCGTTCCTGACCCTAGCTCTGTTCCTGACTTCGGATTCCGCTCCTGACTCGTTGCTCGTTCCTGACCCTAGCTCTGTTCCTGACTTCGGATTCCGCTCCTGACTCGTTGCTCGTTCCTGACCCTAGCTCTGTTCCTGACTTCGGATTCCGCTCCTGATTTGTTGCTCGTTCCTGATCCTGGCTCTGTTCCTGACTTCGGATTCCGCACTCCTGATCATGGCTCTGTTCCTGACTTCGGATTCCGCTCCTGACTTGTTGCTCGTTCCTGACCCCGGCTCTGTTCCTGACTACGGATTACGCTCCTGACTTGTTGCTCATTCCTGACCCCGGCTCTGTTCCTGACTTCGGATTCCGCTCCTGACTTCTTGCTTGTTTCTGATCCCGGCTCTGTTCCTGACTTCCGATTTCTCTCCTGACTTGTTGCTCATTCCTGACCCCAGCTCTGTTTTCTGACTTCGGATTCCGCTTCTGCCTTGTTGCTCGTTCCTGATTCCAGCTCTGTTCCTGACTTTGGATTCCACTCCTGCCTTGTTGCTTGTTCCTGACCTGACTCAGATTCCGCTCCTGCCTTGTTGCTCGTTCCTAACCCCGGCTCTGTTCCTGACTTTGGATTCCACTCCTGCCTTGTTGCTTGTTCCTGACCTGACTTCGGATTCCGCTCCTGCCTTGTTGCTCATTCCTGATCCCGGCTCTGTTCCTGACTTCGGATCCGCTCCTGACTCGTTGCTCGTTCCTGACCCCAGCTCTGTTCCTGACTTCGGATTCCGCTCCTGATTCGTTGCTCGTTCCTGATCCTGGCTCTGTTCCTGACTTCGGATTCCGCACTCCTGATCACGGCTCTGTTCCTGACTTCGGATTCCGCCCCTGACTTGTTGCTCGTTCCTGACCCCGGCTCTGTTCCTGACTTTGGATTCCACTCCTGCCTTGTTGCTTGTTCCTGACCTGACTTCGGATTCCGCTCCTGCCTTGTTGCTCGTTCCTGACCCCGGCTCTGTTCCTGACTTTGGATTCCGCTCCTGACTTGTTGCCCATTTCTGATCCCGGCTGTGTTCCTGACTTCGGATTCCGCTCCTGCCTTGTTGCTCGTTCCTGATCCCGGCTCTGTTCCTTACTTCGGATTCCGCTCCTGCCTTGTTGATCATTCCTGATCCCGGCTCTGTTCCTGACTTCGGCTTGTTCATGATTTGGCACCGCGCTGCCCGCCTGTTGATGACCCTGGCTACTCCAATGACCTCGCTCCTGTCTCTGATCCCAGATTCCTGTCCAGCTCGAGTGTCCCGCCTGACTATCTACTATACCAGCCCTGCACACATTGAATGTTCCTGCTTCAAGTCGGCTGGGAGATCTGACACGCCACTTATCCTGAACCTGTTGTGCGCGAGCGGAGTGCCCCTTTAACCCAGAGTGGGATTCCGAAACATTGCTACTGTTCCTGAACCGGTGGTTTGCCAGTCTCTTCAGGACTCCAACTGTAAGCTCTTCAGCCAACACCTGCAAGCACTCTTGTTCCCCCTGGTCCCTCGGTGCCGTCTGTTCCACTTCCAGCTGGGTCAGGGCTAGTGACACAAGTGAGGCCGGCCTCGTCATTTCATTCTCCTATCAGGTGACAGGGTGTCCTTGTTAAGTTAGTGACACCATAAACACATGTTAAGATAATGACACCCCAAATCGCACTGCATCTAAATCACGCTGAGTTCATGCGATCCGCTGCAGGTGTCAATGTTAAGGTAAAGTGTTACTAAACCCACATCTGTAAAATCAGTCTGTAGATGCAGTAAAGCATGCTTGTTATACCCACTGTGGAAACTAAGGGGTTAATCCTCTGCATTGTGTAAAAAGGCTGCTTGATCCTGACTTCTCTGATCCTCCCCTTCTTCTACTGTCCCGAATCCATCTACTGATAGTACAGAGCTCTAGCACATGCTCAGTTTGGTGTGTATTGCTAGAGAGCTTTTTTCTTTCAGAGAGTAGATGTGATCAGCACAGGGCCAATCAACACTTTCCAGATAGAGGGTCAGGGGTTATACAGCCTCATAGGACAGTCAGAGGAGAATGAAAATGCTTCCTACAAGCTTTAACCAGTGCTGTGCTGGACACTGATAGAAGTCACAAGACTGCTCTATACTGCTGATGAGAAAAGGGATTTAGCAGTTTATATTTACTAAAATAATTGCATTTACATGTTGTGTGTACTGTGGGAGACCAGATATAGTGAATGCAGGGTCCGGGGGAGACCAGATATATAGTGAATGCAGGCTCCAGGGAGACCCAGATATAGTGAATGCAGGGTCCAGGGAGAGCGGATATAGTGAATGCAGGGTCCAGGGAGACCAGATATAGTGAATGCAGGGTCCGGGGAGACCAGATATAGTGAATGCAGGGTCCAGGGAGACCAGATATAGTGAATGCAGGGTCCGGGGAGACCGGATATAGTGAATGCGGGGTCCGGGGAGACCGGATATAGTGAATGCGGAGTCCGGGGAGACCGGATATAGTGAATGCGGGGTCCGGGGAGAGCGGATATAGTGAATGCGGGGTCCGGGGAGACCGTATATAGTGAATGCAGGGTCCTGGGTAGACCAGATATAGTGAATGCAGGGTCCGGGGAGAGTGGATATAGTGAATGCAGGGTCCGGGGAGACCAGATATAGGGAATGCAGGGTCCGGGGAGACCAGATATAGTGAATGCAGGGTTCGGGGAGACCAGATATAGTGAATGCAGGGTCCGGGGAGACCGGATATAGTGAATTCAGGGTCCAAGGAGACCAGGTATAGTGAATGCAGGGTCTGGGGAGACCAGATATAGTGAATGCAGGGTCTGGGGAGACCAGATATAGTGAATGCAGGGTCTGGGGAGACCAGATATAGTGAATGCAGGGTCCGGGAGACCAGATATAGTGAATGCAGGGTCCAGGGAGACCAGATATAGTGAATGCAGGGTCCAGGGAGACCAGATATAGTGAATGCAGGGTCCGGGGAGACCAGATATAGTGAATGCAGGGTCCAGGGAGACCGGATATAGTGAATGCGGGGTCCGGGGAGAGCGGATATAGTGAATGCGGGGTCCGGGGAGACCGGATATAGTGAATGCAGGGTCCGGGGAGACCAGATATAGTGAATGCAGGGTCCGGGTAGACCAGAGTATATAGTGAATGCAGGGTCCGGGGAGACCAGATATAGTGAATGCAGGGTCCGGGGAGACCAGATATAGTGAATGCAGGGTCCGGGGAGACCAGATATAGTGAATGCAGGGTCCGGGGAGACCAGATATAGTGAATGCAGGGTCCAAGGAGACCAGATATAGTGAATGCAGGGTCCAAGGAGACCATATAGTGAATGCAGGGTCTGGGGAGACCAGATATAGTGAATGCAGGGTCTGGGGAGACCAGATATAGTGAATGCAGGGTCCAGGGAGACCAGATATAGTGAATGCAGGGTCCGGGGAGACCAGATATAGTGAATGCAGGGTCCGGGGAGACCAGATATAGTGAATGCAGGGTCCGGGGAGACCAGATATAGTGAATGCAGGGTCCGGGGAGACCAGATATAGTGAATGCAGGGTCCGGGGAGAGTGGATATAGTGAATGCAGGGTCCGGGGAGACCAGATATAGGGAATGCAGGGTTCGGGGAGACCAGATATAGTGAATGCAGGGTCTGGGGAGACCAGATATAGTGAATTCAGGGTCCCTGGGGAGACCAGATATAGTGAATGCAGGGTCCGGGGAGACCAGATATAGTGAATGCAGGGTCCGGGGAGACCGTATATAGTGAATTCAGGGTCCAAGGAGACCAGGTATAGTGAATGCAGGGTCCGGGGAGACCAGATATAGTGAATGCAGGGTCCAGGGAGACCAGATATAGTGAATGCAGGGTCCAGGGAGACCAGATATAGTGAATGCAGGGTCCAGGGAGACCAGATATAGTGAATGCAGGGTCCAGGGAGACCGGATATAGTGAATGCAGGGTCCAGGGAGACCAGATATAGTGAATGCAGGGTCCAGGGTGACCAGATATAGTGAATGCAGGGTCAGGGGAGAGCGGATATAGTGAATGCAGGGTCCAGGGTGACCAGATATAGTGAATGCAGGGTCCAGGGAGAGATGATATAGTGAATGCAGGGTCCAGGGTGACCAGATATAGTGAATGCAGGGCCCGGGGTTTAGGTTGTGAACACCTTTGCGATCCGATTCCAGTGCGGCAAAAAAAAGCTGTTAGCAACTTTTGAATGGGCTCATATTGCACCGCAAAGAATCGCATGTGATTTGAATAGGAATGCGGTGTTTCCTGCACCACACATGTGTGAACCCAGTCTGAAGGACTTTTTTTCTCCCCCCCAGCAGATTGCAATTTTGGTTCCATAGACCTCAATGGAAACGCCTCAAAAACGCATTTTAAAAAAATGCGTTTGTGTTTTTGATATGTTTCTGCTGCACTTTTGCTGGTTTCTCCCAGACACTTTTTTTTTTTTAAATAACAAACAAAACAATATTGCATAATTATTTATTTCAGGTACTTATATAGCGCTGTCAATTTCCGCAGCGCTTTACATATGTATGTATATATTGTACATTCACATCAGTCCCCTCCCCCGAGGAGCATACAATCTAAGGTCCCTAACTCACATTCATACACACATACTAGGGACAATTTAGACAGGATCCAATTCACCTACCAGCATGTCTTTGGAGTGTGGGAGGAAACCTGAGTACCTGGAGGAAACCCACGCAGGCACAGTGAGAGTATGCAAACTCCAGGCAGGAGGTGCCGTGGCTAGGATTTGAACCAACGACCCTAGTGCTGCCAGACGGAAGTGCTAACCATTTAGCCACTGTGCTGCCCAAACTATTAATAATAATAATTGCACTAATTATTCAGCTCAACCACATTCCTCAGTCTTGGTGATACTAAAAATAGCTTTTTCCATGAAACTTCGCAGAATGGTACTAATCATTATGACCTAATTATCGATACCTTGTTTGTAAATAGTTTCCCAATAGGAATTGAATCAGAATTGTTTCCTTGCCCAGATTTCAAGTTTTCTAGCTCATCGTCTCAGCTATGAAACGTTGGGCATTTCCAGGAAGAACAGGGATTGTCCCTTTAAATCAAGCATGTAACCATGCTATAAAAAGCAGATATTAATGTGTTACTATTCTTAGTTACAGGGTGATTCAGAGCCTGTTTACACCTTAACCATTTAAAGACCACGCCCTTTCTGGCACTTTTTTTGTTTGCATGTAACAATGGATATTTTGTTCCTAGAAAATTTCTTAAAGCAGAGGTCCTAGAGAACAAATTGGTGGGTGTTGCAATGTTTTTTTTGCGCTGTATTTGCACGTCGGTTTTTTTCAAACACAAAATACACTTTTTTTAATTTAAAGCAAAAAAACCCCAAAAACCCACAATACAACCCATTTTTTTTTTTTTCGGTACAATATAAAAGAAGATGTTACGTCGAGTAAATAGATACCAAACATGTCATGCTTTAAAATTTGCGCGTCGGTTTTTTCAAAAAATTTAAAGCAAAAAAACCCCAAAAACCCACAATACATCACCCATTTTTTTTTTCGGTACAATATAAAAGATGATGTTACGTCGAGTAAATAGATACCAAACATGTCATGCTTTAAAATTTGCGCGTCGGTTTTTTTTTCAAACACAAAATACACTTTTTTTTTAATTTAAAGCAAAAAAACCCCAAAAACCCACAATACATCACCCATTTTTTTTTTTCGGTACAATATAAAAGATGATGTTACGCCGAGTAAATAGATACCAAACATGTCATGCTTTAAAATTGCGCACGCCCATGCAATGGCGGTAAACAACGTAAATTTTACTATCCATAGGCCATGCTCTAAAAGCCTTTACAGGTTACCACTTTAGATTTGCAGAGGAGGTCTGGTGCTAGAATTACTGCCCGTGATCCAACATTCGTGGTGATACCTTACATTGCTGGTTGCGTGCGTTTGTGACCGACATGTGCATTTGCCTTTTTGAGGCGTTTTCAATTTTGTTGTAAAATGTATTTCTTTTTATTTTTACACTGTCACTTTGAATTTTATTTAACACTCTTTTGCTGTCACAAGGAATGGAAACATCCAGTGGAAACTGCAACAGGCAGTGACAGGTCCTCTTTATGGAGGGATCAGGGTTATATTAGACCCCATGTGTCTCCTCTGTCCTTAAAAGCATTTGATCACACCAAGAGCAAGCTACACACCATTCAGTTGGGGTTTTCACCTACACTATATTGCAAACAGTATTGGCCCCGCCCTCCAAATCATGTGATTCAGGTGTTCCAATCCCCTCCATGGCCACAGGTGTATACAATCAAGCCCCTAGGCATGCAGACTGCTTCTACAAACATTGGTGAAAGAATGGGTCGCTCTCAGGAGCTCAGTGACTCCAAGCGTGGTCCCGTGATAGGTGGTCACCTGTGCAATAAGTCCATCCGTGACATTTCCTGGCTACTAAATATTCCACACTCAACTGTTAGTGGGATTATAACAAAGTGGAAGCAACTGGGAACAACAGCAACTCAGCCACCAAGTGGTAGGCCACGTCACATGACAGGGCGAGGTCAGCGCATGCTGAAGCGCACAGTGCGCAGAAGTCGCCAACTGTCTGCAGAGTCAATAGATAAAGACCTCCAAACTTGGCGTGGCCTTCAGATGAGCCCAACAAATGTGCGTAGAGAGCTTCATGGAATGGGTTTCCATGGCCGAGCAGCTGCATCCAAGCCTTACATCACCAAGTGCAATGCAAAGTGTCGGATGCCTTGGTGTAAAGCACGGCGCCACTGGACTCTAGAGCAGTGGAGATGTGTTCTCTGGAGTGACCAATCACGCTTCTCTGTCTGGCAATCTGACGGCCGTCTCTATTTTTGGCGGTTGCCAGGAGAATGGTACTTGCCCAACTGCATTGTGCCAAGTGTTACATTTGGTGGAGGGGGGATTATGTTGTGGGGTTGTTTTTCAGGGGTTGGCCCCCTAGTTCCAGTGAAGGGAACTCTTAAGGCGACATTTTGGACAATTCCATGCTCCCAACTTTGTGGGAAGAGTTTGGGGGAATGGCCCCTTCCTGTGTTCAACATGACTGCACACCAGTGCACAAAGCAAGGTCCATAAAGACATGGAGGAGCCAGTTTGGGGTGGAGGAACTTGACTGTCCTGCACAGAGTCCTGACCTCAACCCCATAGAACACCTTTGGGATGAATTAGAGTGGAGACTGCGAGCCAGGCCTCCTCCCCCCAACATCAGTGCCTGACCTGACAAATGTGCTTCTGGAAGAATGGTCCAACCTTCCCATAGACACCCTCCTAAACCTTGTGGACAGCCTTCCCAGAAGAGTTGAAGCTGTTATAGCTGCAAAGGGCGGGGCCAACTCAATATTGAACCCTACGGACTAAGACTGGGGGGCCATTAAAGGTCATGTGTGTGGAAAGGCCGGCCAACCAATACTTTTTGCAAATATAATGTACTGTAATAACAGCTATAGCACCTAGCCCAGCAATGGGCAAACTACGGCCCGGCGGACCTTTTAATCCGGCCCGCGGAGCTAGGCTCCCGCTAGGCTCCTCTCACAGTCCGCCCTGAAGACCGGTGTAGCATGAAAATCTGTCTCCTATGAGGATCTGTCCCCCTCGATGTATCTGCGCATGTGCCGGAGATCGCCGATCGGCTGCTAATGCCTGAAACTGGCACATGCGCAGATACGTCGAGGGGGACAGATCCTCATAGGAGACAGATTTTCATGCTACACCGGAACGGCGCGGGAACACGGCGAGAGGAACGCGCGGAGCAAAGGTAAGTGAATTGACACAGGGGGGACTTGGGGACTTAATATGGGGGATGAATTAATATGGGGAATGAATTACTATATGGGGGATGAATTACTATGGGGGATGAATTACTATGGGGGATGAATTACTATGGGGGATGAATATATGGGGGATGAATTACTATGGGGGATGAATTACTATATGGGGGATGAATTACTATATGGGGAATGAATTACTATGGGGGATGAATTACTATATGGGGGATGAATTACTATGGGGGATGAATTACTATATGGGGGATGAATTACTATGGGGGATGAATTACTATGGGGGATGAATTGGGGGACTATATAGGGGATGAATTACTATGGGGGATGAATTACTATATGGGGGATGAATTACTATGGAGATGAATTACTATGGGGGATGAATTACTATATGGGGGATGAATTACTATGGGGGATGAATTACTATATGGGGGATGTATTACTATATGGGGGATGAATTACTATGGGGGATTAATTGCTATGGGGGATGAATTACTATATGGGGGATGAATTACTATGGGGGATGAATTACTATATGGGGGATGTATTACTATATGGGGGATGAATTACTATGGGGGGGGATGAATTACTATATGGGGGATGAATTACTATATGGGGGGGATGAATTACTATGGGGGATGAATTACTATATGGGGGGATGAATTACTATGGGGGGATGAATTACTATATGGGGGATGAATTACTATGGGGGATGAATTACTATGGGGGATGAATTACTATATGGGGGATGAATTACTATTGGGGGATGAATTACTATATGGGGATGATTTACTATATGGGGATTAATTACTATGCTTACTATGGGGGAATATTACTATACTTACTATGGATGGACACATACACATCATTCATCTACTCTTGGTCCGGCCCCGGGGTCCAATATATGAACCCATTGCGGCCCTCAAGTCAAAGAGTTTGCCCACCCCTGACCTAGCCTATTGGTCATCGAAGACCAAGCTAAGACAATAGATAATGGAAGAGAAGGACTTTACACCCAAGAATGTTGATTGTCTCCCTGTTGTGGAAATTCCTGTGACATCACTGAATGATGTCATAACCCTAGAGGGAAGCTGCCCTATCAATTCAGTTAATATCATTCTATGAAATGTCACCATTGTGTGCCGGGATTTAATCTGAGGTTCTATGACGTGTCTATTGCAGGTGCAGGAAATGTGACTTTGAGTA